CTCCATCGACCACTTGAAGATTACTGAGGTTTTGGTGGACAATTTAATACTTTTTGCCAGTTGTAGAAATTGTCATATGCTGTACTAGACACTACCAAAGATCCCCGTTTGGGAATCCTTGCTGTAATGTAAATGCATGCTCTAAAGGCAGTTAAATTTTCATTTCAGGTGCAAAGACAGTAGCCAAGCCACCTTAAAATTATCACAGACCCCCCTCTCTTTAAAAGATTCATTTCTAGTACAGAAGGGTAGAACCAGCAGCAGCTGAAAGCAGTTCTCGGACTCCTGTTCCCAGAACAATGTAGGCAGCATAAGTGATGGGCAGGGACAGAGTAACAAAAAAACAAAATATTTGTGCCCTTTACCACTTGATGGATTTATTTCAAAACAAAGGTACATTGAACAAAATGGGACCCACTTGGTCCAAATTTCCATTCATTCTGAAATGAATGCACACTCCCTTATTCCACTGCTAAACCAAACACCGTACTCCAACCTTCCCCCAAAATGGTGGCTTGTAGGGATTCTGGACTACAACAGCTGTCATTTCTGACTATTGGTTATGCTGGTTGATGCTGATGGGAGTTGTAGTCCAAAATATCTAGAGAGCACAAGGTGAGGAAATGCTGTTCTATTCATTGGAGGCACATAACAAGTAGATCCTACAGTCCTTATTGCATGTGTACATGAGTGTGTTCAGTACAGGCAACCATCAATTTATTCATGTCCAACTGACATGCAATCGTGCACAGGTGCACAGTGCTAAACTCGGAAGTCACTAAAAGGCCAGAACAGGGGAAGGGGCGGGGTCCGGAGCATAACTCCTGAGAATTGCCTGTACTTAGTTGCTAGACTTTATTACACAGGTTTATTAAGATATGCTCAGATATTCCATTTTATTTCAGATTTGCCATCTCTGTCTGTCTCAAATTTAAAATGTGGATGGCAGGAAATCCCAAAGAGTGTGTACCTCACCAAAAAAGCGGACAAAAGAGAACATATTTGAATCTACTAATTTCTATGTACAGATGCAAATTAAGTTATAATCACTGTAATTTAACAGAAATACATCTCGCCATAGTGAGAGTGACTGTGACCTATGTGCTTGCTCAGACTATTGTCCAGATGCTAACTTTTGATGAGCAACTTCAAGGACCTTGCTCTCCTATCTTACGGTTCATGTATTTTAATTATGGGTAGTTCTATTTTTACAATCTGTTTGTTACTTTGGTATTCCTCCGCAAAATGAAAGGTAGTATTTAAATAACAACAAACAACTTTAAACTGGGCTTGGACCAGACAAGTCCAAAACTTACAAATAGAGGATACCTTCAAATAGAGGACTGTAAAGTAAGCCACATGGGCATCCAACAAGAAGAAAATTAAAAATGTGCCTTGAAAAAGGAGGCCAGTATTTTGAATGCATTCACCAGTCTTACTGGCATGGGGAGGACTGTCACAATATTGTCACTACCCTTTTCAGCTAATATATTGCCAGTGATACCATCCCAAAGAATAGTAAGGAAACTGGGCTTTTGTCACACATCCTGAATTTAGCTGATATGCACAGAGAATCCCACAAGCATCACCATTGACCAGAGGGTACAATCCTACTCCCTAGGACCTGAGTAGCTGGGCAAAGGGAAGGGTGAAATGTCAGGAGACAAAATTAGTTGTGTTATCTTGCAGTTGCAAGGAGGATAAGTGCCAGTTGTACTGGAAGCTGATTGGAAAAATATGCATGTATCTTTCACAGAGCGTGTTTCTAATTTTAATCCAGAAAAAAATGTGCCTCAGGTGTGGTCTGGGAAACATTATTCTAAAGTCTGAATATGGGAAAGAGAATGATGTTAATGGTCTTACAAGCTTTTTACCAAGTATTTTAAAAATGGAGCATCCTTCCGGATAAATGAGTTATGCAGAACATTTTGGCCAGGGCAGGTCACTTGAGAAACATTTTTATGTGGGAAACTTTGCTTTGAGAGACTAGAACACATTCTTGGAACAGTACTTCATTGTTCCCTTTCAGTCTTTATTTTGCCTGAAGATTATTTACTTGTTAATGCCCTGACCTTGACTTCTGTGCTACTGCTCCTACAACTAATGCAATATCCTCAGACAATAGCAACTATTGCTAGGCTCTCCCAGTGATGTCACTGAACTCATTAAAGGTATAGAGTTGGTGCTTTGACCCCTGGGACACACACACATGCACACACACATTTATACAATGGCCCTTGTTGATAAGCTGAGTAAATAAATAGAAAATGTTTTCATATGAATATAAAAATAGTACTTGAAAGGACTTAGCAGTGCTAAGGTAATTGCCAACAGGTATGTTGTGCTGAGATAAGAGGGCATTTGGTAATATCAATTACATGGATTTTTGGAAGTCTAATTCTCAAAGCAATTCATGTAACAGGCGCACATATTTCAGTTGCCATTTTTTAAGAAGCGTGTATCATTATAGATGTGTGTGTTGACATGCGTGTGCGTATGCACACGCACACGCACAGACACACAGGGTTGGCCCCAAGACATTTTGCAGCCAGAAGCAAAGGACAAAATGTCTCATACATACATTTCATGTGTACAGAAACTGACTGGGCTGACATTTAATCTAATTTCTACACTGGAAATGGGGCACCATCTCCACCATACCACAGTACACCAGAGAGTAGGGAAGGGTAAAAGCATATACTGTGGTAAAGTGTGCATACAAGTGCATATATTGGTGAAAAAAAGAGTACAAAAATCCATCATGTTAGGGAAAGCTGCATGCAAATATGTGTCTATTAGCAGAAATGCACACTAAAATGCTGACGAATCTTCATAATGCCTTTTTTTAAATAGTAAAACTGCAGACTGATGGGGAGATGCGGAGGACTGAACTTAAAGCTGGAAAAAATGAAAAACAGAGAGAAATCGAAATTGGCAGATTTTCTTTTACACATTTCTTAGCTGGAGAACAGCACTGCAAAATTCAGAGAATTTTGATGGATAGTTTTGCTTCAGTTCTTACATTGTTCCAGAAACTGTGAATTTGGTAGGTTTGCCTTTAACTGCAAAATGAATAGAATTTCCCACCTGAGATAAACACAGTAGTTAAGCAGGTACAGGAACTATGGTACAGTGGTACCTCGGGTTAAGAACTTAATTCGTTCTGAAGGTCCGTTCTTAACCTGAAACTGTTCTTAACCTGAGGTACCACTTTAGCTAATGGGGCCTCCCACTGCTGCCGTGCTGCCAGAGCATGATTTCTGTTCTCATCCTGAAGCAAAGTTCTTAACCCGAGGTACTATTTCTGGGTTAGTGGAGTCTGTAACATGAAGCATCTGTAACCTGAAGCGTCTGTAACCCAAGGTACCACTGTAAAGACAGCTCTGTCATCCAGCAGAAGGGAACACCTCAAAGGGCTTAGAAGAAAGTGCTTGGACAGGGTGGTTCTGGCACTACCCCCCAGCACTTGCTGCCTGAGATGGTTGCCACACTGGCTAATGGTAGGGGCAGTCCTTTGTCTCCCTGTTTAAGCACAGCTCAAAAGAAAAGCTCCCGCTAATAGATAGTATTTGGTATTTTTATATATTAGCTTATTGCAATGAATGCAACTAAGGCTCGTGGTAATAGGTGGCTGTTAATTATGTTATATGGCATGAATGGACACTTCTTCTTTTTAATAAGTATTCAGCGACACATGTTGTACTTCTGCATGTATTCAAACACACCAATCTCTGCCAATACTGGCTAAACACCTTTAAAAAAAAAAAAAAATCTTCACAGCTCATTACTCACCCTCCCACTTAGCATATGCTGTCAAATTTTATCACAAAGTTTTTGCCCTAAATTGCACGTATTTGTTTAATAAAACATGGATATGAATATTGAAAGTTTCTGCAATTGTTGGAGTAGTTTGTTGTTGTTGTTGTTGTTTTAAAAAAGCCCATTCCTAGAGAATGGATAATAAAGCTGTCAAGTACATCACAAGGTAACATTCCCACACTGTAGTCTCCACCTCTGTGTACTAATACTCATATGGTTTGAGCCAAATCTATCAAATCTCACCATGAGATATGAACATCTAAAATTCATCATGACCTCCTTGCCTCATCCTAACTTTCTCTCCTTCATTTCTACGTATCTACCTGTGAACTTTGCACCTTCAGCCTCAATCAGCCAATAGCCCACGCTGCCTTAAAAGGTAAAGGTAAAGGGACCCCTGACTGTCAAGTCCAGTCACGGACAACTCTGGGGTTGCGGCGCTCATCTCGCTTTACTGGCTGAGAGAGCCGGCATTTGTCTGCAGGCAGCTTCTGGGTCATGTGGCCAGCATGACTAAGCCACTTCTGGCGAACCAGAGCTGCACACGGAAACGCCGTTTGCCTTCCCGCTGGAGCGGTACCTATTTATCTACTTGCACTTTGAGGTGCTTTCGAACTGCTAGGTTGGCAGGAACAGGGACTGAACAACGGGAGCTCACCCCGTCACGGGGATTTGAACCGCTGACCTTCTGATGGGCAAGCCCTAGGCTCTGTGGTTTAGACCACAGCGCCACCCACATCTCCTTCCTTAAAGGGTAAAGGTAAAAGGGACCCCTGACCGTTAAGTCCAGTCGCAGACGACTCTGGGGTTGCGGCGCTCATCTCGCTTTACTTAAATGACTGTAAAATACTATGCTTTATACATCATAAATTGGTGTGCTTAAATATATAATAAACTGTATACATTAGGTATGTATTGGCCAGATGCTTCAGATCAAATCTCCCAAATTTTTCATGCTAATATTAACCCTATTGAAGCTCTTGGTACATACATATTTGACTTGTGAAAATATGGATGTGTTTAAAAACCCGCAACCACAGATGACAAATTAGCTTCCTCTACTGGGGTTTCTTCCTTTTGTACCAGATGATAAAAAGTGAGGATCATAGAGTCATAGATATGGAGAGTTGGAAGGAACCATGAGGATCACCCAGTCCAACTCCCTGCAGTGCAGGAATCATTCATCCAACGTGGGGCTCAAATCCACAACGCTGAGATTAAGAGTCACATGATCTACCAATTGAGCTATCTGAAGGAAACCATTCTGCATGAAATCCTTTCATTCAAATCCTTTTATATTGGTTTCACTTAAGTGTCAGTTTTGAGCAGCACTTAAGGATAAACCTTTTTTAAAAAAATGAAAAAATCTGAAGTAACATGAAATGATAAATGAATGCTTGGAAAGTTAGTATATGTTATGAGTATCTAGTACCCACACACGTGTGTGAAAATAAATGTACCCTGGAATTAAAACCAAATTGTGACTTTACTGAAATGTTTCAGATTTCTCCTGAACCCAGCTAGCCTCCAAGATTCAGCTAGTAAACTCTTCCTGGTTAGATTTGATAAGGTTATACTTCGCTTGCAGAGCTGCGCTGGCCTAGAACACTGAACCCGCAAAGGTTTACTTTTAATTGGTAAGAGAAAAACATTGACAGACACAGGGCACTTATGAAACGAAACAAAAGAGATATTTAACCCAAGGTTTTCTTCTCCTGTGCTGCACTGATGAGAGCTTACTGAACCAGCCTTGCTTTAGAAAGTTACAAAGCCAATATTGAGCACCTGTAAACTCACAGGGACGTGGGTGGCGCTGTGATCTAAACCACAGAGCCTAGGGCTTGCTGATCAGAAGGCTGGCAGTTCAAATACCAGTGACGGGGTGAGCTCCCGTTGCTTGGTCCCTGCTCCTGCCAACCTAGCAGTTCAAAAGCATGTCAAAGTGCAAGTAGATAAATAGATACCGCTCCGGTGGGGAAGGTAAACGGTGTTTCCGTGCGCTGCTCTGGTTCACCAGAAGCGGCTTAGTCATGCTGGCCACATGACCCGGAAGCTGTACGCCGGCTCCCTCGGCCAATAAAGCGAGATGAGCGCCGCAACCCCAGAGTCGGTCACAACTGGACCTAATGGTCAGGGATCCCTTTACCTTATACTCAAAATTAGTTCAGAGCCATTCTTGATCACCACTTTCCCCATCCTGCACTAAAGGGAAAATCTCTCTTACAAAAGGATACTTTTTAAGATGGAATTCTTCTGTTGCTTGGCCAACCAGGGCCTAAGGGTTGGCTTCAACAGGGTTTGCAGACTTAGGAAAAGACAATAGGTAAATTAGCTTTGCTAGCGGTATGTTGCCTAGCATGTAAGTCAGGGAGGCTAACTCCTACTTATTATGTAACTTAACTGTGCTCTTGTCTGTTTTCCGAGCATTAAAATTGCAGAGGTACCATCCTGTGCTGGTCACATTTTCTACTCCCTGGAATGTGACGTAATCCAGTATACTCTCACAAGAACCCGGGGGTTAGTTTTGATTTTAGCTTGGGTATCAAGATGTATCTAAAAGGACTCCTCTGTTCCAACCTGCTGTACACTTTACCTTGTTAGCAGTGGGAAATTCAGCATCAAAAAAAAAGACAGACCCAGCTGTATCCATGTAAAAAGCTTTGGTTGCTGCAGTTGGGTTGGTGGAGGGAAGGCAGACACTGAAGATGAATGGAAATGCTGCTTGTATAAGACCACCTAGTGAGTTTACTGTTGACACCACATTTGAACTGTGGGCTTCCTGTTTCAACCACTGCAGTACAGCAGTTCTCATGGGTATATTCTTTCTTCCATACTTCTATAATTTTGTCATTACGAACTGCATCATTAATATTGAAGAGCCTAACTTGCCTTGATCACTCACCCTGAAATCAACATGTGAAAGAAAAAAGGCTTATTTGTGGGAAATGTGCTAGGAGGAACTGAAAGCTGCTGAAACAGAAGTGCACTCTTGACCACTTCTTGTAAAATTTTATTGTTTGTTTGCACTAAACAATGCTTTGTTTGCTGATCCAAAGGTCATCCGTGAGTAGCTAATTTATGAAGAAACTGAGGGTCGTAAATGGAGAGTTTGCAAGCACAAACGGTCTACTATAGGGACGTATAATTGAACATTTCCCGCAAACACTATTGTTTAAATTAGATAAATAGTTTAAGATGCACTGTGACCTTCAAGGATGCATAAATTGTAAGGTTCTTTATGGCTGGAAACAGTATGCTTTCTAGTCAACAATTTGTGTTTCAGACTGAACTAATATGGATTAGGGTGCTCTTTCCTCCAACCCAGGTTGTGAAAAGAAAATAATATCTGGAACTTGCGCAGATTTAATGCAGAATTGGGAGCAAGCCAAAGTCTACGTTGACCTACACTTCCCCTGAGAGTGTTGACTTCAAGTCATACTCATCATCACGATTAAACCTCACTGAAGCCTGAGAATGCTCATATTAGAGACTGCTGCCATCACATCCTGAGATTTAATCCCTGCACTGGTCTAGGCAATCAAACACACACCTAGTCTGGGGCAAGCTGCTACTTCAACCTGTGTTTCCATTTATAAAACCGCACAGGTCTTTCCAATCCATCATCACAATAAAATTCACAAGTGCTGTGCCTTGTTTGTTTCAAAATTAAGACTGTATTATTTACAGTGTTTCTAATGCACCCTTGTATACCACCCACAGTAATCAAGTACATGGAAGCAATGAGATAATGGTAATCATAATGATAATAATTTTATTATTTATACCTAGCTGAGTTTCCCCAGCCACTCTAGGCAACTTCCAGCACATATAAAAACAGAATAAAACGTCAAACGTTAAAAACTTTCCAATACCTTTCAGAACCAAATTTGTAAAGGAACAGCACTGATCTTGTCTGAGATAGAACCAAACAGTACTTGAGAGTGGAGGGAAGAAAATCTATTGTATTGGGTATCCCTAAGAAAAGCTGGAGTACTTCAAGCTGAACATATGGGTACAATAAATTAAACTAACTTAAAAGAGGGCAGTGGGGTGGAGGCTGCAGGCCAAATCAAAGATCACAGAACAAACTAGCAGAGAGTTGTTATACTGAAGACATGCAGAAGCTGCATTTATGATATGATGAAACCGTCCCTAGCTTTTCATCTATTAAAATGTATGAGTATTTACAGGTTCCCCATCAATGTCCTCCAGCTATTTTAAATTCCAAGGAACTTCTTTCTAATCCAATACAATCTTCCCGACTCAGTGTTTCAGCAGCTGTCTTTCATGATTTCTAATCAAAGCTGATGATAACCAGCTTTGGCAACAGATTGTAGTACCTCAAATGAGTAATTAAAGAAAGAAATTTGTTCACTTTTACCTTAGAACTGCTGGTGCATTTGGTAGTCTTTGTATCTCCAGAGCCAGTCAAAGGGGATTGATGGATTTTATAATCGGGTCAACACCCTTAATATATTTAATGAACAAATGTCATAGGTTTGTGGTATTTGTCTGCTTCAGAAAGTAGACAGCTACATGACAAAGACGAATGCCAACTTTGGAAACACACACACTTGAGCACAGCAATTTATAAGAGCATACGATAGAATCCTTTGCTTGCAACTGATTTATGACTGATTAAAAATTAGGCATACACAGAAAAAAAAAATGACGTGAAAAAATGAAAGTTCTCAATCTGGCTCATTTTAAAGTACTTGTTAAATGAAAAAAGGTAACTCACAACAAAATAAATTATGTAGAAAACAATATTGATTTGGAAAAGCACAAACTAGAAAATAACCAGGAAGCGGGTGGACTAAATTCATCAGAGCAACAGGCTTGGGTTAGATGCATTGTTTTGTGTTAAGATTGATCAAAATACTGTGATGTCAATATGGATAGTATAAAGATAAACACTTTGATGCATAACTGCAAAGGCTTGCACCAATGGCACTGCACAACATCCCGTAGTAGTGTGTCTATGCGTCTTTCCATGAAGGCAGAATATCAACATATGAAACCAACTTAGCACAAATTCATGACCTTACACAAGTTGGACTATTGGCCAATCTAGCTCAGTATTATCTAGTTTGATCAGCTGTAGCTCTCCAAGATAGGCAAATATAATTTAATAATTAAATTGTAATTGGAGGTTCTTGGGGGGCTGTATTCAACACTGCTGTGCTAGTAGTACAGCAGACTTCCACTTGCACAATTAAACTTTCCTTCCCTTGACTATTTTCTGCCCTGCAGTCTCTCACATACTTTCAAAATCTGCCAAGGACACATGGGGAGAGGAAAAGGAATGAAAGTCCCATTTGAGCAGAACTATGTGTGTGCCATTTTGGCACTGTACTAATGAGCTATGGTCCCTAGCTATGCTGACTAGGAATTCTGAAATCTGTTGTTCCACTAGACATAGCAGCCTGCTCAGTCCTCTAGATTGGTCTCAGAGAGCCTGGCCAGAGGCCCACCAGTAAGAGTCTGCAGGCTAGTGGGCACAAGAGAAGGGGCATTCCCTGTCATGGCCCCCTTACTGATTAACTCCCTCTTACAGGAAGCATACTTGGCTCCCTCATTGACTGGTGATAAACAGGGTCTAAGTGACGGTACATGGCTGTTCACACCAACTCTGAATTGATAATGATGGTGATCATATCTATGGATGCTGAAATTTTAACTGCTCTTTTTGAAATGTTGTGAACTGCCTTGACACAGCTGTTTTGGCCCTTAGCTTAAACTGGGGGGGGGGGGGGAATCTGTCTGCCCTTACGTTCGTAGGTATCTGTGATTGTTTGTATGAATAACATGCCACAGTCATATGACCGGATTTTCTCATCCTTCATGAAATAGAAAAAATCATTGGACTTGAGCCAGAACATAGCAAATTTGAATGTTGGAACACACTGATACAGATCCAAGACAGAAATTTATTATGTACAGAATTACAAATTAAAATTAATCTGGATTGGTGCCCAGTCTTTTAATTAAATTGACCCCATCAATGGTCTTTGTTCAGCAGTTGTTTGTTGGTTCTACAATTTGACCTAGAAGTATCCAGTTCACATCTTGAGCCTATTAGTCTGACAGTGTCCCAGAATACCCCTTGGAAACACTGGTGCAGGGCTCACCAATTTAGTTATGGATTCACAGGCTAATCCGGCTTTCTATCATTAAGAGATGTCAGCTTTAAGCTGCTTATTTACATAAATAAATGTGCATTTCCAAAATATTCTGTTTTTCAGTAAAAGCTAA